GTGTGTGTGTGTGTGTGTGTGTGTGTGTGTGTGTGTGTGTGTGTGTGACATAAAAGCAGGAAGCAGACTATCAGAGGAGAGGAAGATGTGTAAAGTAAGGAGTGTGATAGAATGTATGTGCTAAGAAAGCAAAATGGGGACTATTTTCTAGGAGGAAGTAGACCAGCAAGAGGAGGGAGGGGGGGATACATGAAGAGAAATAGAAACAAAGCATAATTGTCTTAGTTTGTTTCTGTTGCTGTGATAAACTAGCTTTGGTTTGCTTTTTCTTGCTGAGATAAATGCTATGCCCAAAAGCATCTTTGGGAGGAAAAAGTCTATTTGGTTTACATGTGCACATCATAGCCCGCCACACAGAGAAGGCAGTGGAGGAACTCAAGGCAGGAACCTGGAAGCAGGAGCCAAAGCAGAGCCCATGGAGGAATACTGCTTACTGGCTGGCTCTCCATGGCTCAGTCAGCCTGTCTCCTTGTATAACCCAGGACTATCTGCCCAGGGTTGGCACCACTCACGTGGCCTGGGCCTGGCCCCTCCATATCAGTCTTAATCTAGAAAATGCCCACAGGTCAATGTAGTTCATGACATTATACTTTATGATGGTAGAAAAGTGTAAATCTCTAACAAGGAAATAAATAACAACGTGCTCAGATAATACTAAGAATACTGTAAATTAATACAAATGCTTAATAGTGTAAGCTTTAAAAGGCAGCATGTGAATATATCAACCAAAACCTGCTAATACTTCTTTGTTTGGTTGGTGAAGTCAGAGATGTCTATACAATTTTGAGCAATCTCTATGTACTTGGAAACAACCCTCCACAGCACAAAGCACACAGCACAATTTTTTAGTATGTCAGACCTTTTACTCCAAGGTCTTCAAAGAGGATCACAATCCTTGTTTCTTCCCATCTATCTTGAAGGGTGGCACATTATTTTAAGGTAGGTTTCATGTCTCTCTTAGTCACTCTGGCTTTTGGGAAGCAAGTTCTATAATAAAAACGTTTGTAAAATCACAGCTGTCGAGAGGTGAGACCAGAAGGCTGTCCAATTGTAGAGCTACTCCAGGTGGAAACATTTATTGCTTATAATCGGCAGGGACTTCAGGAGCACTTTGCTCACATGTAGGCCACTTGATGACATCAGTGCAAATTTGTCTGTAAGAAAGTGCAGCACCCCTCACTTCTTACCTATATCATCCAGGTGGACTTGTAGTTGTTGGGAGTCCTTCATGCCTAGGGCATTGACAGCTTGGACCCATACCAAGTACTTCTTGCCACCTTGCAGTGAGTCAGTGGAGATGTTGACATAGCTCGAGGCAAGATATTGTTGCTCTTCCCCTGTCTCTAAACTATTAAAACACACACACACACAAATTATATTTATGTAGTTCACTTGTTCCAGAAACTTTGAATGCTATCTTTTTCACCTGATTTTAGAATTTAACCTGTTACTAAAAACTGAACCAAACTTCATTTTATCTTCTAAATTTTCAAAGACAAATTCAAACATGGTAAGGGCCACGGCACAACTTTGGTGGCTTCCAAATACTTTTCTCTTTGTAGACCCTCTACATAAAAAAATGGTGTTATAGTCATATATAAGAATGTACAAAGTATACATATATACAAAATACACATCTATATTCAGATGGTCATATATATTGGCTTATATGTATGTTTATAGACATATAATACTAAATGTTAAAATTTTTAAGTTCTATTTCTTTTCTCATTTTAAATAAAGTTAAACATTTTCACAAACTCCTCTGCACCCTGTGGACACCGTGCACTTTGCTCACAGTGCCCATTCATGGGTAACTCAGTCTTGTCCCCAGCTTGAAATAAATGAGCCACTTCAGGGAAGGAGCAATGCACGTTTTCAGTGCACCATCAGCCTTTTCAGTTGGATGTTTATTTCTGCCACAGTACGGGGAAGGGGTGAGGGTTGGGTGAGAGACTGAAGCAGGGTGGGAAAGGCCAACTTCACAGGTAGAAAAACCCCTAATATATCCTAAAAAAAAATAAATAAAACGATATGACAACAAGTGCTGTCCTCAACCATAAAAAGGCAGGAAGTAGCTTGGAGTGGAACAGGCCAGGCCCAAAAGACCCTCTAATGGAGAGCAGATAGGCTGGGGTTTACCATGCAGCTGAGGAGAAGAGAACGCATAGGATCAGCTAAGCATGTTTCAGAGGCATCTCCATGAAAGATAGACTTCTGGGAAATAAGAGTGGTGCAGGAGAAAGTACAAAATCTGGTATCATCTGGAAGTGAGGGCCAGTGGGGATGGATATGGCTCATTTGAAAATGGAGCTAGCCGTGGTGGTGAGTGCCTCAAGTCCCAGCAACTGGGAGGTGAAGATGTGAGAAGCCTCTACTTAAAGTCATTCCTGTGTGCTAAGAGAGGGTTAGGCTAGCCTGGGCTACAATGAGAGAGACCCTGTCTCCAAGAATAATGTAAAATAAAATAAAGTAGAACAGATTATACCAGATAGCTGATTAAATAGGAGAAGGAGTCATTTGCCATCCAAGACAATGGATAGAGATGGGAGAGGAAGTAGGCAGTACAGAGATTTCTACTCAGCCAATCGATCTTGGTAAAGTCCACATGTTTAGTTTGTGCTAAACTGTCAAATTTTATTAATCAATATTGCCTTTGGACAGCAAATGGGAGAAGCAGTCCAGAACAGGAATCTTCTAGCTCCCCCAGAAAAGGAAAGGAGCCCATTTGAGCCTCTATTTTTAAATCTCTCTTAAGCAAATCAAAGAAAAAAAGTAAGAAAGAAAGAGAGAGAGAGAGAGAGAGAGAGAGAGAGGAAGAAAGGAAGGAAGGAAGGAAGGAAGAAAGAAAAAGAAAGAAAGAAAGAAAGAAAGAAAGAAAGAAAGAAAGAAAGAAAGAAAGAAAGAAAGCTACATTAGTGTATTTGTGTAAGAGAGAAGGAGAGAGAGCCACCCATGAGAGTGAGCTCTTCTACCCTGTGGGTCAGAATCAAACTTAGGCCATGAGGCTATTCAACGAGCACCTTTACCAGCCGAGCTCTCTCCAGGCCCTCTATTTTAAATCTCTACTCTGAAATAACAACTCAACATTTTGGTCAGCTCCCCCAACCCTCTCTCCGGGTTCTCATATGTAGTAACCCTGACATGTAGCCCTGAAGGGGCTTGGAACTTAGTATGTAGACCAGGCTGGCTTTAAACTCACAGAGCTCTGCTTGCTTCTGCCTTGCAAGTTCTGGGATTAAAAGAGCTCACCAATGTGCCTGGCTTTTTCCTTTTTTGAGGCCTGGTTTCATGTAGTTCCAGCTGGCCTTTAAACTCCCTATGTCACTGAGGATGACCCTGAACTTCTGATTCTCCTGAGAATATGCTTCCACATCAAGTTTATTCAGAGTTAGGGGTTGAACCTGGGGCTTTGTGCCTGCCAGACAATCATTTTATTAACTGAGTCACATTTCAGCACATCACCTTTTATAGTGGTGCTGTGACGTGTTGGGGAAGTCACCTGAACTTTACTTTTCTGTTCCGATTATGGTGTTCGAGCTCCTGAGTTGAGGAAGGACTGGCCTCAAGGACTTCTGACCTCACACACCATCAACTGCTTTTGTTCTAGGATACCACTTTCATAAGACTGGTGAGGAAGAAAGAGCTTTAAAGTTACAGTTACTTCACGCTTAGGGTTACATTCTAGGTCCCTTTGTTACTACATTCCTATTTAGCAACTCCTGAAGTCCTGCAGCTTCATAATACCTCAGCAAGAGTCAGAAATTGATTCATGTGACATATTCCCACAGACACAGATATGAGACCAGAACTTGATGCGAGTGACGTGCTTGCACGGACATAGAGATGAGGAACTAGCTTTATGCTCCAACAGAAAAAAAAATGCTTTTATGAATTAAAATACAACAGAAATGTTGTGGTAGGAAGGCCACTTTAGCAGGTGATAAAGGGCTCTCTCAGCTGACAGTCACTGGGGCCATGGCATAGGGGTAGGGACAAAATAAGGTGTCCCTAGCAACTCAGGCTTTAAGTCGCAGTGTTTTCCCCTACTGCCTATTCCCTTTCACAGCAGCAAGGGCATCGTGAGCACCCCGTGGGTGGGTGGGGTAAAAGGATGTATCTTGTTGGCTAATTGTACAAAGCTTGGGCTTTAGAGTCAGACATGAGTTCAACTCTCAGCTAGGCCCCTTCCTAAGTTGTGAGACTTGAGACGATTTACTTAGCGTTGATACATTTCGGTTTACTCATCTGTGAAACAGGAAAGATGACCATCGTTATCCTGAATGAAAGGTAAATGCATGAGGAGAAAACGCAAGGAGATGGTTTCACACCTACTTCATTAAATTATGACACGTTAAAGGCCATTTATAATGCCACTTCCACGAATATAAATGAAATAAAAAAAAAATTTATGACGGGGTTTCTCTGCATCTCAGGCTGGCCTTGAACTCCTAATCCTTTTGCTTTGGCTTCCTAAGTGCTGGAGGCTGCTAGTGTGTACACCACTACTTCTGCTTGATATGTATTGTTTGTATCTGAGGTCAAAGCATATCTTGGGTTTAGCTATTTGCGTAGGTGCCTTATAGTCTTTCTGAAAGAAGAGGGGCTGTAAGTATATCCACAGAGAGCTTACTGAAAAATAGGCTACCCTGCGTTAAATAAGAATTCAAACATGAAAGCAAAAAAGCTGCAGCTGTGCTTAGTGGTAAGCCTAAGTGGTAAGTGGGGCATTTCCTTACTATTTTCCAGTTAGGGAAAACCACACACACATTCTTAACTGGTTTGTGGCTGACTCTCTTGCCACACATACCGAGACCTCAAGTCTTATAAGAAATGTACGGGGTAGTAAGGACGTGACCCAAACAGCATGAGAAGAGCTCAGCAGCTAAAAAATGCTTGTCTCCGGGCCTGACAACCTGTTGGAAGCAAATGGAAAGAAAACCTGGTGTTTGGTTTATGTTCATGCTGAGCTGTCTTTTGAGCATCTAAGATGAACTGCTAGACTCCAAATGATCACGAGCTTGTCGGACTTGGTTTATTTTCTTCTCTTAATTCCTAGGGTTTAACATGGGCCTGAAAGTCATAAAACAGGAAATAAATCTTTGCTAAATTGGCTTGGCTGGTACAGAATGGAGGCCAGTCATTCATTCAATCCTCTTTCGAACACTTGTTGAAGTTGTTAAGTATTTGTTCATGTGTTATTTATTTAGTGTATGTGTGTACTCTAAGTATACACACTGTGATTTGGCGGTCAGAGGACAGCTTGTGGTTTCAGTCCTCTCCTTCCACCGTGTGGTTCTCGGGAATCAATCGCGGGTTGTTAGGCATGGTGACAAACACTTTTAATGGTGGATCCATTGTGAGGGCCCCATTCATTCATTTCTATTCAACAACTATTAACAAGCAGAAGGCACCGCCAGGCACCGCTGAGTTTCACAGGTAAATAGCCTGTTTATAAGGGCCCGCTGAAGACGGGGACAACACTAACAGTAACAGAGGCCAAGCCCTAGGAGGCCAGGGTCCTCATGGGAACTTTGCCTGCTGCATGCTTCTCAGCTTGCCCACAGCCTTTGATATAACTCAACTTCTTCTCAGAGGGAAAAAGATTTTTTTTTTTCCCAACAGCATCCATGATACACAACAAAACAGCACAAAGCTCTGTCTAGTGAGGGCCTCCCTGAGGAGCCAGGGAGGAAGAGAGTTCTTGTTCTGTTTGACAAGATCCACGCTACAACGGAAAACCTCAGATTTTCCTGCCCTGCCACTGACGGGCTGCTACTTCTCTCTTGAACAAGAAGGTGGGCTTGGGTGAAAGGCTTTACAGACTGTGTGATTTCACTAGGACAGAGAAGCACATGAGTTGGAAGTGAAACTTTGCCTGTGCTGATCTCTTGCTGTTTAGCTAAGTGGAAATACCCCAAGAGGCCAGGGTCTGTACTGGCTTTGTGCCTGCTGCAGGCTTCCTACCTTGCCCACATCATTTGGTATATCTCTCAACCTTTTCCTGGCAGGAAAAGGCCTTTTGGGCAAGTAGTTAGAGGAGCAGGCTTTTCTTTAACTTTTTTCCAGCTCATGATTGTATTGCCTGTGAGTTAGAAGATGATTAGATTCATGTTTTGTTTTGTTTGTGCTCACTGGAAAGTATGCTTTGAATTTGCTAAAAGAAAGCATCCATTTTCTATGATAACTTTTCAATGCTTTATGTCTTCTTTAAAGAATTTATTATTACTATTATTATTATTATTATTATTATTATTATTATTTTGGTTTTTGAGATAGGATTTCTTTGTGTAGCTTTGGCTGTCCTGGACCTGCTTTGTAGACCAGGCTGGCCTTAAACTCACAGAGATCTGCCTGCCTCTGCCTCTTTGAGTGCTGGAATTACAGGTGTGTACCACTGCACCCAGCTAGTGTTAGTATTTTTAATGATATGTGTGTGTGTATGTGTGTGCGTGTGTTCACACATGTGGATATGTAAGAACAGGTGCCCATAGAGGCCAGAGGTGTTAGATTAGCTAGATCTGGAGTTTCAGACAGTTATCAACCATCTGTTGATAACATAGGTGCTGGAACCAAATTTGGGTCTTCTGGAATAATAGTAAATGTTCTTAATTACTGAGACATCTTTCCAGCCCCATTGTGTCTTTTCTAAAATATGATACAGTTACAGTGGTCGTCAATTCAAAATACAGGTTGCCAGAGTTTAACTATAGTTTCACCTCCCTTATCCAGTGTGCTCAGGACCAGAAGTGCTGGATTTTAGATTTTTTTTCAGATTTTGAAATATTGTACGTATGTAATGATGTATCTGTGTTCAATAGCTATAAAGTTAATCTTTCCGATTAGAACACATTCAGCATAGTTTTCTAGATTTGTCCAAAAATATCTGAAAGTAAGCTTCTATATAGTACCATGTAAGTGACTGTTATTGCTTTATTAATCTTTCTTTCTTCTATATAAATCAATATGACATATCACACCAACCTAGGCAATCAGTTTTGAGTGCACCACAATATTCTAATCTCCTTTGCTATAGTTTCATTGGTGTCCCTCCAAATTCACATGCTGAGACCTAGCATCTCTCTTGAACAGTGGGTCAGTTTCACATGTAAGATTTAGCCTCTAATGCAAGCGTCCTAAGGGACTGAGCTCTTAGGTGGTACTGAAGTAATGAGGGTGCCATCCTCAAGGATGATGTCAATGCCTTAAGAAAAAATGGAGTTTTTTTCCTTCCTCTCATGTGAGTACACACAGAAGTACAGGCACTGCTTATGGGGAACAGGCCCTTGGCAGGCAGCAGATCTACTGACACTTTGGTCCAGAACTTCTGAAACTCCAGTCTACATGCAATAAATTTCTGTTTCTTACCAATCAGCCAGTCGCTGGTATTTTGTTATAGCAATATGAATGGGCTAGGATATCTCCTGTTTCGTTGTTGTTCTAATAATTGTCTTTGCTCCACAGGAGGTTGAGAGCCACCCAGCAAGGCCCCCTCTGAGGTCATAGAGCAGCAGCAGGCACACAACACTATCTGGTTCCTAGAGCCATGGAGGAAGAGTCCATTAGAGAGCAACCTTTTCCTGTCACCACTTTCCCTATCAAGCTATAGTTGTAGCACCTAAATTAGAATTAAAACTCGAAGATCATGATTAACTACTAATACTTCCCCTGAACTTAATGCTAAGGACTTGGCACCATCATATGAGTTGAAAGCCAGCATCACTCAATCAATTAGAACAAGCACGAATTAGGGGTCCGTTTTAAAGATAAAGAATGGGAATTTTGAGGGACTAGATTACATTGTGCTGATCCTCAAGGAGAATAGGGCTTACATATAGGTCATGGTTTAAGCTGAGCTGTGCCTACATTAGGATCCTGCTACCAGTCACCACCAAGAGAAAAGGATGGAGCAGTCATAGAGTTTGTTGTTCGGCAAAGCAGAAAGCGGCAATGGCACAGGAGTGATTTTAGGTTTCCCAGCCTAAGGTGTGTGTCTCCGGTGTGAGGCTGGTCTCCGCTAGCTCCACTCTAGAATGACATGTGTATCTGATGGCACTGTGGAACCTACCTCTTCACGTGCACCACATACTTGGTATCTATGTAGGTGGGCTTCCCAGTGTCCCAGGCACAAGTCATGTTGCTCGAGTATTTGTAAGTGACACATGTCACCTTGCTGGGCGCATCCGGTGGATCTGCAACAAAATGGATCACTAAGAGCTGCTCTTGACGAAGCAGGTAGCTGTGAAACTGTCTGTTTCCTAGGGAAACTAGGCCACTTGGCACTGAGCACCCATGACTACCTCATTCCACTGCTACTACCTTACACCATAACCAAGTTTTCCATCAAGCATGGCTCCTCCTCAGAGCATACTTTATTGTAGTCTCTTCTGTGGGGATACTAACAAGGTCAGGTTCCTCCCATCGAAATAAAGCAAGCCTCCCTCCAGTTCTTTAATTACATCTCCCCTCAGCTACCACTCTACCTTGCTTTTTAAGTAAGACATTAAAAGATAGTTTGTGTGAATGCATGGTGTGTGTGTTCCGTGTTTGTACACTTCTATGTGTGAGAGTTCTGGCGCATGTGGAGGCCAGCGGCCACATCGGATGTCTTCCTTCATTACTTTTCATATTGTTATTCAAGTTTTTATTCTATTTTTAACTATGTATGTTTGTGTGGGAGTATGTGCTGAGTGCAGGTACCTCTTGAGGCCAGAAGAGGGAAGGAAATTCTTTAGAGCTGGAGTTCCAGGCAGTTGTAAGTTGCACTGTCAGTTGTAGGAATTGAATTTGGGACTTATATAAGAACAGCGTGTGCTCATAACCAGAGCCATCTCTACAGCTTTTCACACTTTTTAATTTCCTTGTTGCTCTTGTTTTTGTTTGTTTGTCTGAGGCAGGGTCTCTCACTGAATCGGAAGCTCACTAATTGGCTGGACTGGTAAACCAGCAAGCCCTAGGGATTCTCCTGTCTCTGCCTCTCCAGTGTTGGGATTATCAGCAGTCATTACCCTGCCTGGCTTTTATGTGCATGCTGGAGACCCAAACTCAGTCCTCATGCTTTTATGGCAAAAATTTCCCAGCCATCTCCCCAGCCTTCTGATTAACTCAGGCTTTAGTTTGCACAGTTCTACCAAAGACACAGTTGCTAAAGTCGTAGAGTTTGTTGTTCCATGAAGCAGAAAACAACAATGGCACAGGAGTGATTTAAGTTTCCTAACCAAGGTGTGTGTCTCAGGTGTGAGCTGGAAAGCTCTATGCTGTTCCATCAGAATTACATCATTATTACTGAGCTTGGCCTCTGCAGCAGTTGATTCTTTTTTTACTTTCCTCTTGAAGCCTAGACTCTATAAAAGTCTTCAGCTTTTTCCTATTTCCCTGGAAGACTACTTCCTGCTATATTCTACTTTTCCCTTTGAAAGTTTGCTATTTACATGCAGAAAGGAATACTATTTAGCAGTAAGAAGAAGGAAATTTCCAACCGTGTTATAAATGGTTAAAATCTGCAGACACTGTGCAGATTAAGCCAGGCACAAAAGACTGCCCAATTCCCCTTATAAAAGTTATCTAGAACTGTCAAATTCATTAAACAAAAGGTAGAATGCTGGTGGTGACCCCTGTGCAGATAGGCGGCGTGTGGAAGTCCAGGGATGAGAGCTGCTCTTCAATACATGCAGTTTCCTTTGACAGGAAGAGTCCTCGAAAAGGAGTGCTAGAAGGAGAGAAGCAAATGCAGGGAACACCACCGAAGCAAGCTCTTAAACATGGTGAAAACAAGCAGGTTATACTATGCAGATTTTATCATCACTACATCAAAAAGTTTTTTTCAGGTTTGATATTTATAGAACTATTTCAAGGCACGCTCTCTCCCTCCCACATCCCTGCCCACACCCAACCCAACCATGTTCAGCTTGTTCTCTCCATAGCCTCATTTTTTTTTTCTTTTGATCTGCTAACTTTTTTTTTCCTATGAGAAGCAACACTACCCACAGTTTCCTCAGCTTCCTCTACCCCAGTCCACACCAAGGATGTCAGTAACTAGGCCCACTACACAAGGGACCCTGGACCTAAGCTGACTAATCAGAGAATTTCCCTTGGGAATGAACTGAAGCCTCAGGATGAGTTAATAAGAAATCTCTAAGGGTCTCTCTTTCTCTCTCCTTCTCTGACTCTCTTCTCCCTCTCTCCATCTTGCTTTGTCTTTATCTCCCCATCTCTGTCTATTTATCTCTTTCCCCTTCTCTTTGTTTTTGTTACTCTAGCTCTCCTTGTTCCCTACTCCTCTCAGTAGCATGTGAGCTGAACTGCTTGTGACCTTCTTGTCACAGTGAAATAATTCTTTTAGTAGTGCTGGATTTGAGAGTGAAGCCAATCCAAGACAAATAGTTTTTACTAGATCTTCAGGGCCTCTGAAGTCTAAGAATCCCCCATCAACCATAAAATGACATCCATATTTTCAGTTATGTCATTCAACAATAAGCTACCAGGATTGTCGTTCTCAAACATGCATGGAAATATTGAGTGCTTGCCAGATCTTTACATTTCCAGGGTACTTCACTCAGTTTTGTCCTCCAGGTAAACTCTTGACTAAGGTATTTGACAATGAAGAGTGTTACAAGACAAATAGAAGGAAGCATGGTGGGCCCCAGGAGGGGGAATTATGAACAATAAAGCTTAGGCCACTCTATAATCATGGATTCATGGGGCCCCATCTCTGCCGATGAACTGTTGGCTACTGATGGCTAGATGGCTAGAGTGATCATTATCTTCATTTGTACACCTGATAGTGAGCCCCCCCCCCCAGGCTCCAATGGACAGTTTCAATCCACGGTCACACAGATAGCCCTGGTTAAAATCAGTACATCATACAACAAAACAGAAAGATGTGAGCATAGGAAAGACCTGTGATGTGAGGAGGAGGAGGTTGGCAGGAGTGGAGAGTAGATAAAAGAGGAGGAGGTTAAGAATAATAAGAATGCACCATATATGTGTATAAAATTGCCAAAGAACTAATTTAATTAATATAAATCATCTACCAAAAATATTACATGTTGTTTAGAGAGGCAGATGGATCTCTGTGAGTCCCATGCCAGGGCTACACAGTATACCTATTTTCTTAAAAAAAAAAACCAAACCAAACCAAACCAAACCAAAACCAACCCCCACCAAAGATTATTTAGAGCCATCAAATTGACAAAGAGTTAAAAATGGTATTATAAAATATAAAATGTTAAAATGGATGTATGGAAATCCTGTAACATATTTCTGGCACAAATTAAAATTTGGATAACCTCTGAAATTTACCCTTTCTGTAGTACAACAGTGAAAGGTAAGACTGGGCTGGCAAGATTTCTCGGTGGAGGAAGGCGCTGGCTGCCAAAACCGACAACCTGAGTTTGGTCCCCAAAATCCATGTGGTTGAGAGAGTAGATTCCTTAGGGTTGTCCTCTGACCTCACATGCATGCTATGGCACATGTGTAGGCACATATGTGCACATGTATGTGTTCACATTCACATTGAATAAATAAAAATAAAACAATTCTAAGTGAGACCAATGCCATGCAATCAAGCAGTTTTACAGCTAGGAGTACATTCTTAATGGAATGTCCACACATAGATGAAAATAACTTACTAAAAGGATGTAGCTATCTTTCAAACTAGTGTTCATGATAATGAAAAACCTGGGCTCTCCCTTAATGCTCCAAAACAAGGTTGAGTAAACTATAATATACTCATTTAAAAAAATCTCAAAATAATGTTGTTGATGATGTTCTAAGGACTCAAAAGTCATTAGAAATATATCACTAAATAATGACCACATGATAAAGTGATTTTAAAAGTATGTCACAGAGTGATATAGGGTAGCACCCTCATTAGGGAAAGATAAATACTGAAACTTCAAAGACACTTCTCAGTTGGATTATAAAACAGGATTACAATGAAAGACTCCTGGGCTTGATAGGCATTTCTATTTTTGCCCATTGAAAGCTCTTTAACTGTCTTGTGTTGAATGTAATCAGTTTTATTATGGAAAGTTATGCTCTTGGCTGTAGAGATGCCTCAGTGGTTAAGAGTGTTTCCTCCACAATTATGGACTTTAGATCCCAGCACCCATGTAATGAGATAGGCATGGTTTGCACATCTGTAAACCCAGCTCCAAGAGAAGCAGGAACAGGAGAATAACTGTGACTTGCTGGCTTCCAGCCAGCCAAGAAAATGTGTGCCCCAGGTTCAGAGAGAGACTCTGCCACAAAGGAAAAAGGAGAGCAGCAGAAGAAAACATCCAGCGCTCTCTTCTATCATTCACACAGAAGTGCACACACTCTCACACAGAAACATACACACAGCTCGTCTTTTAAAAAGCTGTTTTCAAGCAGTGATGATTACATGAAAGTGCTTTGTAAGAATTTGGTAAGTGGGAGCATTAAGTTTGAATGAGTAACCTGGGTTCCCACAAGGTGAAAGAAATCAAGTTTCATTTAAACTTGACGGAGGTAAGCATGGCAACAGTACTTCACATCATTCTGTACACTGGGTTGTGAGAGCTTGTGGATCAAGATAATGGGATTATGTCATGGGTAGAAAGACAAGCCTGTGGGCTTCATAGGTGTTTCAACTTTGCTACGTTTTCCTGTGGTTTTACATAGAGAACACTGTAATTTGACAAAGAAGACAAATATCAGCTTCCTGGACTTTGTTTCTCACTGTTCCCCATGAAATAAATGTTTGGAACTGAAAATGCATGGCTGGCATTAACTGCCAAAGACAAGAGTGACACTCTGCACAAGGGTAAGGGAGCAGTCACTGTGTGTTAGCGGGAAGCAGAATAAGGGGCTAGAAGGTAAAGTCAGGAGAGGAACATCCCATTGTTAGCTCCAGTACTAGGTTCTAAAAGTCCAAGACTTAAACTGGCTGTCCACTTCCTGAGAATACCCTGAATACACAGAGAGGACTGAGATTTTGTTTTCTCATACCTACCCTAACCCTCTACCCTTATTAGAATGCTCCCTGATCATTTACCAAGAGACTTATTAATTCAGCCTAACCAAAGATCGTTTGCCACAGAGACAGGGCCCAGGTCTGTGCTTCTCTTTATGTTGTATTTCTAGCACTTAACACATTTTGGGGGGTATATTTGTAAAACAATCACTAAAGTTTATCCCCTGAGTTGAATGGCTCACTTAAAAAGATGACAATTGCAAGAATTAAGACGGAAAGAGGTGTGATGCTTCAGGGAGAGCTCACTAAGCACCTGCAGAGGAGGGCTCAGGACAGGCTAGCTGCGCAAGAACAACGCTGAGGGTAATGTTCAGCGGTGTGAAGGGAGAGCAGTCCTTTCATCCCATAAGGCAATGTCAAAGACTGAAAAAAAATTAAGACAAAAAATGTTTAAATGTTTAAGAAAATGGTTAAATGGAAATACCCCTTATATGGTTTATTTAATTTGATACTTTTCAAGGACTCCCCTATGAACAAATTTCCCACAATATGTTCTCATTTAGTCAGAGATAGGACTCTAAGAAGCATTTAGGATTATGGATTATAACAGAAACTGTGGTAGTGGCATTTCAGAATCACTCCTTAGAGAGACTTTGAAATTTCCGAATCTTTTCAGGGAAGGCATTGACTCACTCACTCTATATCTTCCATGGTGTATCAAAATGCCTACAAAAACTCTCTTCAGCACAGTGATGACTACTTGGCATCATAAGGCTTACAGAACAAATATCCTGTATGAAAGCGGCCCAGTGAAAGCAATGTGCTTTCTAGAACACCACAAAACCCTCAAGGCCCCCTTTTCTGACCTACTTAATAGGAAGTAACTTTACTGAGAACTCAGCCCCAAAGCACAGTCACCTTGAACCTAGGAACTTGAGTAAATTCTTGCCTGGCAGTTGGGTTTTCACACTCAAAAACCGAGGTTTCTGTGAGGAATTACACCTTGCAAATTAACGGATGGAAAGAGTGATGGTAGGGGATGAAAGTTTCTCTTAGGCTGTCCTGGAAGGGGAACATTCTCTGACTTGAAACACAGCGGGGCTCTAGGCTTGGGGCAGAAACCCCTCAACCAACACCAGGAAGGTGGCAGCAAGTTATCAGTCACCTGTGCTCCAGTATGGACAGGGAAGGGGCATTAAGTACGATTGTAAGAGCATGTTTGTTGCTGTTTTGGACAAAGGTTCTTCACTACAAAAGCAAACTAGCAATTCAAAATGAAGGGATGTGTGCTCACTGCTCACTGACATTCAAGACCACATTTGCCTGACAAGAGGAGGTTCAGCAGCACCCTCTTTTAACGGTTCAGTCAGCTGTCTGGCATAAGGTGGAACTGTTATGCTTTAACCAAAGGAACATAGCAGTAACTGCTTTGATTTCTTGTTCCATCTTATAAAATCCCCTGCTATGCTCTCCATCACAGCATCTGTCTATTAAAAGGATGAGGTGCCCTTTGGTTCAGGAACTGTAAATAAGAGGTGGAACTGAAAACCAGAGGATTTTTTTTTCTTTTTAATAGAAGTGATACTTATTTTAGATCAATTTCCCCTCGCATTTAAACCATTCGCCTGCAGCTGTGGAGATTTCTCATTTTCCCTCTGAGGAAATTACATATCATGTTCACCTTTTCATCAACCCCCAACGGAGAAACAGTAAAACAATGACATGTTGAGGGGGTAATTTTGTTCTTGAGGATATGGCCAAGCTGGCAAGATGTCATACATCAGATGAGGTGTCTGTGTATGGTTTGATTTTCACAATGCAGATACCTTATTGTTTAATTCATTAATTTAGGATACGCATAGCAAGTTCATTATTAAAGTCGAAAACTTATTTCTTTTCTTCAACTCTCCTCCACCTCATCCGATAGCTATCTCATTTGAAAGACATGCATGCTTGGTCAACTACCCGGAGTTAAGTAGGTCAGTGACCTTGTTACAGAACAAGGAAGTCTTCTAGTTTTTATGTAGTCAGTCTTGAGGCCAAGTAGTAGTGGGGTCTGGTCTGGCTCTTCTTATCTATGATCTGGAGCCAAGGAAGTAGCAAGGACATATATATTATCAAAAGCATGGCGGAAGGAACCTCTTCTGATCTTTCATCCCAAAGATCAGAAGGTGTACTGGAAAATGACTCCCTGCTTTAAAACAGTGATGGGAGGACAAGGAGACGGCCCATTTAGTAGGTAAAGTGTTTGCTGTGCAAGCATGAGGTCCTGAGTTAGTCCCTAGCATCCACATCATATGCCTGGAATGGTGCCATTCCAGTGCCGAGGAAGTCAGCACTGGGGAGGATTCCTAAGGCTCCCTGGCCAGGCAGACTTCACAGCATGAGGCCATGTATCAAAAAACAAGGTGGAAGACCCCTGGAGAATAAGCACCCACATGCACACGCACAAACACCTACAAATACGATCACAGACACACAAATGCATCAAAAACAAAAGGTCCATAGATACTTATACAAATTAGTACAGGAACTTACACACCTTCAGAATATTATGAATTCAAACTGGTTTAGTATGTTTTGAGATTGATTTGACTGAATTTTTCTTAATAATGACAGTAATGCTAACTCATAACAGGACTATAGGATGAGAAACAGACGATTATATGAGAATTTTCCTATGTATGTTTACTTGTTTGTTTGTTTATTGAAATAGAGCCCCACTATTTAGCCCTCCTTGGCTGGCCTGGAACCTCTGATATAGAACAGGATAGCCTTGAACTCACAGAGATCCACCTGCCTCCCATGTGCTGGGGATTACAGGTGGGCGCTAACGTGCCTGTCTGGAGAATCTGGCTATATTTTATCAAAAACATGCATTTATAAAAATTAGACACTAACATACCTTAAAGTTCTTAATAGACATTCAAATAAACTACTGAAATATGGTACTTACAGGTTCTTTCATTCAAAAAAAAAAATTAAGTCATGGAGTCTGAAGTCAACTAAGCAAATTGGCCAAGATTACACAGCTCACTGGGAGGATAGTGAGAACACAAAGGTGGTTTTTGCAATGCAACCTGAATCTTGGCTTTAAAATATCTTAATGGGATCAGCCAGCCTCAAAGTTAATGATAGTAGTTCGGGAAACAAACATGCCAACAAAAGCCAGATGAAAAGAACCATTTATACTTCTTTAGTCGAGGCTAAGGGATTCACCACCCTCCTTACCCCTCTCCCAGAGTGCTGGATCACAGGTGTACACTGTCATCCTTAGCTAAAAGCAGCCTCTCAGACCTGAGGTACTGGCCTTCACCCAGACTGTGTTCATTCAGGCTACTGAAGAAAACTGTTCTCCGGGGTTTTTGAATATTTAAACTTTATCATGCGCACATCAGACCTCCATACTTCTGTCTTCTTTTGAAAACTCAGCAGATCAAGGCATACTGGGCCCTAAGAGGCAGCGGCTGCTCCAGTTTGCCATGGTCTTTCTTCTCTGGACAAGCCTCACCAGCCCTCTGTAGACAGCTGAGGCCTGTTTTAAAGCAATCGATACATAAACTATGTTGATTTGCCTCTTGTTTTAGTTAAAAAGCCCAGCAATTTTCAGTTAACAATTAGGAGACTCCTTGGTACTTACATCCAGAGGAAATGTCTTTTCCACAAATGAGCGTCTCTTGAAAATGCCCAGGACATTCAGCAGTGCAATACATAGAGGCACGAGGTTCTGAAAAGCCTTTATACCAAAGTCGGGCAGTTGTTCTATTAATCCTTGTAATATGAAATCTTTCTTTGAGGCCATTTTTATAAAAGTGAAGCCTCCTTGGTCGGCAGTTCTTCAGGGCTTCTTGACAATATATAGAAACATTCATACCCATCTGAAAAATGTCACCAGGCTCCACCCACATGTTACCAGAGCAGTTAATATTTGTAATTCCTGGAAACAATCACATGAAATAATCAATTGCTTGCAAATATTGTGAGAAGTTTAAAAGAGGAATATGCTACTGCATGTAAAACGTATTCTTTCAATAAGTAAATGATTATTAAAAGTAGCTGTGTGTTTTCAGTGATGCCCAATGGTACAATGCAATCTTTGAGCTTTTCTCATCCGAGAGCAAATATAATTTCCTCTTCTGCTTTAAGCTGGAGAAGGGAGACTTTATGAAGCTACAGCAGTTTTTCAAAGATGAAACTCAAACTAGTACTGGTTATTGCAGAATCCAATTCCATTCTTTTGATAGTCAACCAATCTTTTGTTTGCAGGGATGGGGAAGTTTTTGTTTGTTTGTTTGAGATAAAGGCTACTTTTATCATCATAATGTGAATATAATGGACATATTTTACTCTTGCAATGACCAAAAGAGAGTACTTAGTAGCCACATAACATTCATCACTAGTTTAATAATATAGTGGAAACATAATACATTATTGAGTTAAAAAGCAAGTTGCAAAACAAGATAATTCATAAAAGCACAGCATTAAAAAGAAGCAAATAATGGGGGAGCCAAGGAGAAATACTGAAATTTTTTTTAAATTTCCATGCTAATATTTTGAAAATTGTGTATGTCTGGGACTTGAACATTACACAATGGATGTATTACTTGCATGACACCAAATCACTAACTGAAAGCTCAGTGGCAGTTCATGCCTTGAGTTATGTTCCTATCAGCCTTCCCTAACGGTAAAGTATTTATATAAAGTCAAATGGAATGCAATGTTAATGAAATAAAATTCTTATCTAGAAAAAACACCAGAAGCTTTATGAAATTTGTTCTAGCTTTTCCTGGAAATACTTGTATTAAAACATATTTAAATCTTATTAAGATAAGAATAAAGATGAGTATTTGATTTTTAAAATGGCCCTTGTCTTTGTAACACAAACCTTAAAGAACTAGCTTGGTTAGTATGCAATTTAAGATTTTTTTCCTTAGGTGTACAGATTTTAGTATGTACTCCTAAGGAAGCTAAGAAAGAAGGAGGACCTCAGATAAGATGCTCAATCCTCATTCAGAAAGGCAAACTAGATAGAAACAGGAAGAGGGAAAAGACAGGGAACAGGACAGGAGCATACCACAGTGGGCCTCTGAAAGATTCTATGCAGCAGGGTATCAAAGCAGATGCTGAGACTCATAGCCAAACTTTGGGCAGAGTGCAAGGACTCTTATGAAAGAAGGGGGAGATAGAAAGACCTAAAGGGGACAGGAACTCCACGAGGAGAGCAACATAACCAAAAAATCTGGGCCCCAGGGTCTTTTCTGAGACTGATATTCTAACCAAGGACCGTGCATGGAGATAACCTAGAACCCCTGTAGAGATGTAGCCCATAGCAACTCAGTGTCCAAGTGGGTTCCTTAGGAAGGGGAGCAGGGGCTGTCTGACATGAGCTCAGGGGCCTGCTCTTTGATCACCTCCCTCAGAAGGGGGTGGGGCAGCCTTACCAGGCCACAGAGGAAGACAATGAAGCCAGTCCTGATGAGACCTGATAGGCTAGGGTCAAAAGGAAGGGGAGGAGGACCTACCCTATCAGTGGACTTGGGAAGGGGCATGGGAGAAGAAAAGGGTGGGAGGGTGGGGTTAGAATGGGATGAGGGAAGGGGCTACAGCTGGGATACAAAGTGAATAAATTGTAATAAATAAAATACATATTTTTTTTTGGTTTAAGTAACATTTAAAATTTTAAATTTTAAAAATATTCAAATGTTAAAGTAGTAATAAGATAATTACAGCATCATCAATAGAGAACAGAACCAGAGGCATGAAAGGTGAGTTTATGACAATATCTGGGCATGGTCTCTTACTATTGTAATCCCAGAACTCAAGAGACCAAAGAAAGAGGGCTACAAGTTCAGGGCCAGCTTTTGCTACATAGATTATTAGATTTAAGCTAGCCTGGGATACAAATAAAAAAGGAGAGCAGATGAGGTGGCTACCAAGCCTGAAGACATGAGTTTGATCCTTGGGACCCACTTGGTGGAAAGAGAGAAGCGTGTTGTCCTCTGACCTCCCCCTTGAGCCATGACACACACTGTTCCCCAAACAGATAAATCACTGTGAAAGATGTCTAAAAAGAAAGAAATATGTGTCAGGGCATGGTAACATATGCTTAAAATCCTAGGGCTTGGGAAGTTGAAGCAGGACAGAGAATTTGAGGTAAGCCTGTGTTACATAGCAAGTTCAAGACTAATGTGAAAAATGAAACTTGGTCTTAGACAAATAAACAAAAGAAGAAGATAGGAAAGGAAGAGGAAAAGGAAGGAAGAGGTGGAGGTGAAATGGGGCAATATTGAGTAGATCAACATGGGTCCAGAGTAAGGCCGACAGACAGATTTGTGAAGTTTTCTCTATTTTTTTTTTTAAAAGGAAATACCTGGCTATTTTAAATAAGTTTGATAATTCAAGTTTAGAGAAAACATGTCTCCATGACTAATTGTGATACCATTTTTAGAATACATAAAAAAGTGTCAAAAGATTTGGTCACATGTTCTTGGTTTTAGAAATGACTTTCAGAACATGGTTGGTGATCAGGAAGAGGCAACACAGATTTATAAACGAGTAGGTCATGTTAACTTTTTAGTTCCTTCTTTTGTTTCTTCTTTTTGAGACAGGTTCTCACTTTGCAGCCCATGCTGGATTTGAACTCACTTCCATTCTCCTGCCTCAGTCTCCTGCCTGGTGATAATATAGACATGAGCTACCCTGCCCAGCCAATTGAATTTCTTAAATGAGGTTATTATATTGGTTAGAAATGTTTAACTTATTGTAGAAATGTGTACTATACTTTTTTAATATCTTTGTAAAGCATTTTGTTTATTTAGAATTTTTTTTGGCAGAGTAATTCTGCTATGTATACCAGGCTGTCCTTGAACTCACTCTGTAGCCCACTCTAGCCTCGACCTTGCAGAAGTTCTCCTGTTTCAGCCTCCAGACTGTCAGGATTAAGATGTGTGCACTTCGACAGTGAAGCTTGGAAATGTAGTAACACCATCCTAGTAAAACCTGAACAGAGGTCACTGGGATTCTGTTACAAGAGTCACACAGTGAGTGATAGTCACAGCACAGTGAATGACAGTTCTAGGTACTAAAACCACATCTAACCTCGCTTGCTGTGTACTCATCACTTGGATATATAAACAGATGTTCTGCTCATTGTCTGCTCAATAAAAGCAACTGGCATCTTTTCTCCTAAACCTTATGGGGAAGCTGTCGATTTGATGTTGAAGTGTTCGGTTATCTTGCTGCAAGTTTTTGCATCTAGATCATACAGCTCCAGCATAATTGTGTTCCAGTCTGGAGAAGAGTGATATGGAAGTCAGCATGATCCCAAGCAAGAAAAACATACGAACATGATGAATGTCACATTTAACAAAAAAGAAAGAAAGAAAGAAAGAAAGAAAGAAAGAAAGGAAGAAAGAAAGAAAAGGAAGAAAACAAACAAGTTTGTCACTATTCTGAGTCACCTCGTCTGAAAAAATGTCACTCACTGTTCAGAACTCGGTGTTGATATTATTTTCTGTTAACTGTCCTCTTGCCCAGGAGACAGCTCTTCCCAACAGAAACACACAGATGCTAACCATAGCCTTCCTTAAACTTCTACAGTCTCAAAGAAAAGTGTTTTTAATGAATGTTGTGTGAATTGTAAGACATAAACAACAGCAGTAAAATAATGATGCTGTGCAAGGACTAAAAGGTAGCAGAAGGCTTGCTGTTAAGTAATCACCAATAAGCAGTTCACAGAACTGAACTGCAAGCTTTGTTAAGTTACAAATTTGTTAATGCAAGCTTTGGCTGAGTTACAAAGCAGATATGATAATCCTAAAATACAACATTTCAACTCACGATGGCCTCCTTTCTGGAAGCATTCATGTATAACAGAGGAGTGCCCATTAGGGTATCTGGGTAGGGGGAACCAACCTTCATTTGGAGGCAAATTGGATTATTTTTAGTTTGTTCCATTCCATATTAATTTTTCTCAGTATAATAATTTTGCATTTTCCAGTTACTATGATATAATGGCTTAAAAATGATAACCACTCAGTGCTCTATTTGATAAATGAAAACATAAACAGATACACAAAATACTATACCTCCATGACACCATCCCAAGAACACGTAAAGGGTTATTACCACACACAACAGGAGTGTGAGTTGACTCATGCCCCAAATGAAGAAGAAAGCTCTTCTTTCTCTCTGGAAAAAAAAAATATTAAAAATGTTTATATTGCAGCATTTTAATGAGATAATGAGCATTTTATTTCTCAGAATGGTTATCTTTAGTGGGATCCTTTCAAAAGAACAGAAATAGGGTGGCTAGATGCCACTGTTATGTGAGGAGGCTCACCAATAGGCAGATAAGCAGAGCATTAGGGTGGAATGTCTGCCTTCACGCATCACTGCAAAGTATCCTAGGAGGTCACCAGACCCTTGTCAAAATGTAGCTTCTCCTACTCTGCTGCCCCTCACCAGACAGCTTCCCTCTGCTGTAACTTCTGCCGGTGAATACGTGAATGCCTGCCTCAGTCACATCCATCACGATCTGGAAGAGCAGTCTTTGACAAACAAGAGTTGGGAAAAGCTGTAGTTTCAGAATTCCCAAAGGAAAAAGGATACAAAGTGAGGAAAACTGAAACAAGGATAAGACATGTACTATAACAAGCCAAACTTTCAGGGGTGCTCAGAAGAGCCCTGTGATGGAAATACTGGAAGACACTGTCTGCAGTTTACACTTGGAAACTTGCTCTCCACTCATCAGTCTAGTTGGGAAATAAGTCAGTTACTCAAATATATATGTATATGGTCAATTTAGTTACACCTGAGTTTTCATACAAGAATTTCAAAACGGAACTCATGGCTCGTCTAACAGCCTAAACCACAGGGTTATATTTTTTGTGGCTTATGAATACGGAGGTCCCTTTCTTAATTTGTGATAGCATATCTCTCTGTAAGAGGCAGCACAAGCTGTAGAACTGCCTCATCAGATGTTAAGTGCTCAACAGAGAGGTGAGCATCAGAAGAGGAGTGATGGCCCAAACTTACCTTTCATCAGTAGCATTACCCGAAAGAATCACAGAACCCGTAAGAGGAAGCAACTTGGCCTGCACATTTTCAAAGAAAATGCAGCTGTCTATAAGTTTTTCAGGAATCAGGGTCTCCTCACCTCTTTTCTCATTTGCAGCACTTTCTCTCTTCAGAGCCAAGCAGCTGTCCTCATGGCTGCGGTGACTTCTTTTCCACTGCCTGCCTGTCAGTGATTGCTTCAGATTTTTACCTATGAGGCAAGTGGAAATGTCAGTCAAGCCCTGACCTACATATTCATTTCTTGAAGAGGAACTCAGTGCCATTTCATAATGACTAGGGCTCATGTCACTATTTGGGAAAACCCAGATTACTGAAAGTGAAGTGCTGTGTCAGTGCTTTTTTTCCTCACCTTAATTGAAAATAGTGTCTTATACAAGAAGTCAAATAGATGGGTGATGGTCATGCACGCTTCTAATCCTCAGCCTTGGGAGGCAGGGACAGGCAGATCGTTGAGCTCAGGGTCAGTCTGGATGGTCTATGTAGGGAGTTCTAGGCTAGGTAGGACTACGTAGTGAGACCTGGTAAAACAAACAAACAAACAAACAAACAAACAACAAACAAACGTTAACAGAAATGAAAATGTCAATCCATGTAGCCGCTGATTTTTCTACCTTCGGTATACACTAAAGTGAAAAAGGGAATGATGAGGAGGTTGGAGAGAAACACTGCTCCTCCAGCTCCTTTGGAGGTAATAATGGTACCTCGAGGTACGAAGAAGCAGCACCCCTCTCTTCCGTCAGCCTCATCTCCCAGCCACACACCTGGAAGCTTGCTGAGGCTTACCTCAGACACTATGCTTGCGCAGCTGGGAGCTCAAGGTTCTGTTCGGAGTCAACATTCTTCCTCGTTCTTGGCTGCTGAGGCCTAATGGTAGGTGAAAGAACAACAAAATTTACTTTGCGAAATTGTGAGAAATGAGATTTCAGAGCAGAGAAGGGTATGTGGAAGAGAGGGATATGCAGCCCTAGCCAGAGACACAAAAAGCCGCAGCTGCCCTAAGCTGGGCACCAGAAGGCTCACAAGGGTAGAGGAGACAGTCACCCCACAGCAAATTCTGTGGTTTGCCAACAAATGCAGAGATGACAAGAAAGGAGAGGCCTGAAAAGGAAGGAAAGGAAAAGTGGGGAGGCGGAAGCCAGTTTTGAAGTCTCCAGTAACTGCTTCATGCACAACCACCCCTTCACGGTTCTCCTATTGGTTCCTGTGGTGGTTTGAATGAGAATGGCCCCCACAGGCTCGTAGACTTGGATGTTCGCTTTCTAGTTGGTGGATGGTCTAGGAAGGATTAGAAGGTTTGGCCTCAGAGGAGGTGTGTCACGAGGGGTGAACTGAGAGGTTTCACTAGAGCTCACTGCAGGCACAATCTCACTGTCTTTCCCTGCAAGTTGCTGATTGGATGCGAGCGCTCAACTACTTTTCCGGCACCATGCCTGCTGCCACCCTTCCAGCCCAGAACGAGCATGAACTAACTCTCTGAAACTGTAAGTTAGACCCCAGTCAACAGCCTTCACTGACAGCAGGGCTCTTACCAGGTACGATGTGATAATGTTGCTCCGGAAACAACTTGGAAACTTGGCTCCGGAAACAACCACTGAAATGAAACAAGAACGAACACTCCCATTCTTCAAAGAAAAGAAGAAACTCCTCCCCGACAAGGAAAAGTAGTCTTGGTTAAGAATCATTAGTTTAGAGCTGGGGAAAGGCTTAGGAGGTAAAATGCTTGCCATGACTTGAGTCCATTTCCAGCTCGTTTTTTTATATGTATAATTATGTTTATTAAGAAAAATGTTACTTTAAATCCCAATGTTTGGAAAACTGAGACTCTCTATTTCAAGGATAGTTGGGTTACAAAATGTTTAAAGATAGTATAGGATCTTTTCTAGTTCCCACCATTTGCCTGCAAATTTCATGATTTCCTTGTTTTTAATTGCTGAGTAGTATTCCATTGTGTGAATGTACCATGCTTTCTGTATCAATTTCTCCATTGAGGAACATCTAGGTTGTTTCCAGATTCTGGTTATTACGAATAAAGCTGCTCTGAACATGGTTGAGTAAATGTCCTTATTGAATGGTGGGGCATCTTTTGGGTATATGCCTAGGAATGGTATAGCTGGACATTGAGGTAGTACTATTCCTAATTGTTTGAGGAAGCACCAGATTGATTTCCAAAGTTGTTGTACAAGTTTACATTCCCACTAGCAATGGAGGAGGGTTCCCCTTTCTCCACATCCTCTCCAGTATGCATCATCCCTTGAGTTTTTGATCTTAGCCATTCTGATGGGTGTGGGTAAAATCTCAGGATCATTTTGCTTTGCATTTCCCGAATGAATAAGGATGTTGAGCATTTAAGTGTTTTTCTGCCATTTGATATTCCTCTACTGAGAATTCTGTTTAGCTCTGTACCATCTGTTCAAAGGAAGCCTGTTGGCTGCTCAGTTTCTAAGTGGGTTTCCTAGTAAGGGGAACAGGGGCTGTCTCTGACATGAACTCAGTGGCTGGCTCTTTGATCATCTTCTCCTGGGGGGTGCAGTTTTGCCAGGCCACAGAGGAAGATGATGCAGCCTGCCTTGATGAGATCTGATAAGCTAGGGTCAGATAGAAGGGGAGGAGGTCCTCCCCTATCTTGGGATTAGGGAAAGGGCATAAAGGGAGAAAAGGGAGAGAGGGTGGGACTGGAAGGAGATGAGGGAAGTGGCTGTAGAGAGAATACAAAATGAATAAATTGAAATAACTAAATACATAAATAAAATTAAATTTAAAAAGAATAGTATAAAAAATGAAGAAGCCCCTGTCTTAAAAATAAAAGAAAGCTTGGGTCTAGAAATGTGATTTAGTTGTTACAAATGCTTGTGGCTGTTCTAGAAGACCCACGCTCTGTTTCCAGTACCCACATAGAGGGAGAGCATTTGAAACATTCTAGACAATGAAATTGCAATTTCTGTGGGTAAAATCTACACACTGAGATTTTTACGAGAGCCTCCTAGATGACTGTACTAAATGGCTAAGCTGAGAACCACAGGAAAACATGAATGTATTATAGCCTTGAAGACCAAGCAGAAGCCATGACTATCAGTCAAGATTTAGTGATAAATTACAGTCTTACAAGCTGTGAGGGAGGTGTGAAAAACATCTCACCTGTGGAGAACAGAAAGTGCAAGTGATGGTGTCTAAGGATCTTCAAGTTGCTTCTCCAAGGTAAGAGAACAGAGAGCTTCAGTGGCTATGTCAGTATGTCAGTGGAGACATGCCTGTCATCCTAGTCCTTGAGTCTGAGGCAGGAGAATCATGAGTTTGAAACATATATAGCAAGAGCTTCCCTGTCTCCCAACCCCACTAAAAAAACCAAAACCAAAACCCAAAAACCAAACCAAAACAACAACAACAAAAACAAAAACCAAAAACAAAAAACAAAAAACAAAAAAAAAAAAGAAAATATAAACAAAAAACCCTTCAGGTCAGTAGCAGCCTGAAATTAGTGTTGTATTCCTGGCTTAATAGTTAAGGTTCATTTTGAAAGCAGAAAGGAGCTAAGGCAAATATTGCTAAGTTGTCGGGGGCCTTCTGGCACCTTGCTGCCCCCAGAAGTCTTGGCATTTGGTTTAATGACAATAGTGCATTCCTGGCTGACCTGAGGCTTGGGATAAAGGTCATCTTCCTGAAACACCTTAAACCCTCCTCCCCTCTCAGGGCTTCCCGAGTAACACTTCTGAAGAACTTTCCAAACAATCGTTATTAACACAACTTGTGACTCTGGTGGGCCATCCTGTGATTTCTAGTCACTTAGTAACCCTGCCAAAGGCAATTCCATTCCTTTCACCCTGCCTATGTAAAGGATATACTAAAAATAATAAACGGAGACCTTGATCAGAGAAACTGTCTTGGTCTTCATTTCTCTCATCTCTTGTTCCACCCCATTCTCACCCCCTCTCTTAGGGTCTCGTTCGACTGACCTGTGGGCCTGGTCACTAAGTAAAGAAATAACCTTATTCAATGGCACTTTAGAAAAATAATATGGATAATTGTGGAGAACTGATTAAAGATGAAGCCGCCTCCCATGGAAGAAAGGCTACCGAGACTCA